TTTTTTTTTTGGTGAAAATACACATAGCCAAAGATACACCATTTCAAAAATTTCTACATGCACAGTTCAGTGACATTGACTATGCTCTTCCAATTGTGCAGTTATTCCAGTGATGTCATTTTTTATTTTTGTTTCTTTTTACCATGGAAAAGGACCAGTAGATAAGTGCCTAGAGATGAGACCCGATTTTATAAGTAGATGTGAACACCATAGTTAATTATAATAGAAGGTTTTTTTTTTTTTTTTTTAAACTTGGTAAAAAGCAGTCAATCCCAACACTATGCCAACACCCCCAGCATTCATACACAGGCGGCATGGCTAGTGTGCATTTGAATTCTCACTAAAAGCTCACACTATCCAAGATACACATTCGACAGATTGAAGACACCAATCCCAAAATGGCCCCTCTGGGGCACTGACATTGTGCACACTGGTTGGACACCAGGGCCAGGGAACTAGACTCACTCACACAGGTATCCCTCTCCTGCAGGCCAAGGCCACCCAGCAGCAACACCTTTAGTGGTAGGCACCCCAGCCTGGCAGGCACTCATAGGCACACTCGGGGGAGCTACTGAGAACCCTGAGGGTCGGGCATTTGGGGGCAGCGGCGCGCACCCTCGCACAGTCTCGGCTCACCGAACACTGTCCAGGACCCGAAATCGCTCCGGAGCTGCCCGGAGGATCTGCATTATGCCAAGGCGGTGGGCCAACTCACCTCGACGAAATAAAAGCATGGCAGGAGGGTGACGCTGTCCTTGATCACTTTGCCCTTTGGCCTCTCCTTCGCCGACATCCCGGCCGCCTGCTGGGGTCTGCGTTCTCCCCTGGGCGAGGTGTGCACCGCGCAGCCGAGGCGAGCTGCCTCCTCCAGCCGCAAGCACCCAGCGCCGCTGATGTCACATTCCCCGCGGGCACCGCTGGAGCCAGCGCGCTGCATGCAGAGCCCCTGCCTCTCCCCTCCCCTCTTTGCAGCAACCCAGTGGTTCCCTGAGTTGGCACGTCCTCTTCCTCCTCGATTCTTGCTCCTGCTCCAGTTTTACTAGGCGAAGAAATGTACTGCTCCTCCTCCAAGCTGTTGCTGCAATGGCTTCTCCTCGTCACCCTCCCTCTGCTCTCCACCGCCCTTGCAAGGCTTCACGGCTGGCTGTGGGAGCCTGACGTCAAGAATTGGGAAAGGGGACGCACCCCTGGTTCCTGCAGCAGCGCGGCTGAGGAGCTCAGGCACCTACTCCCCCCTGAGCAAGCCTTCTCGGTCACTCCAGGAACGCGAACTTTAGGATTGCTAGAGAGCAGAAATCTGCTCCTGCCTCCAAACTCACAGCTAGGAAATCGGTTTCTACCTGCCCGAAATTAAAACTTGGAACCCGTACTGAAAATTAGGCCATAGTGGGAACTCATTGATAGTCGGCTGCTACCCAGGAATGCCTGCCCCTGCTCCAGATTCTCTGCCCAAGCGATTCCTGGGCTCTCTACAACCCTGAATCACCTGCTGATGAACCCTCGCTATCAGCTGTCTGGGAATGGTGAGGGTTCCCTGCATCAAGGGAGGCCAATGTATGAATGCACAGGTGGTGGGCATCCTTACAGAGGCCAAAGGTCGGGATGTGTTTTAATCTCACCCTCGCACCCCAGAACATCGGTATTACAGGGATAACCCTAAAAAGAACTTCTTCAGACATTAATTATCTAAGTAAAGTCCTTCGCTCTTAGGCGGTGTGCATGGCTGGTTTTGATATAGTAATTATTTTGGGAACCCAGAAGCATTAAGTGTCACAGAAGAGAAACACACCCAGCAAATGCAAAAATACTGCATTACACCTATGTCAGTGATTACATGCCCAGGTGATTTCCAACATTTCAAATGTCTCCATTTCAAGCAGGTGACTGCAATTCCCACCCCTCTTCCCACCTTACTTCTTTAATCACTACTTCAGTAGGTCATCGACAGCGTGGGGACTCTTCCATCCATTAACCGTACACACGTCACTACCGCTACCACCTCGTGCTGTCACTTTCTTCCTTACCAGGCTTGCATTCTACAGCACATCAGTATAGTCTCTTCTTTCTCCCTCCCTTTTCATCATACTCACCTGGCAAAATCCCAGCCCCACGTAAACCCAGTTCTCTGCCCATGCCAGAACAAATGAAAGTGGTTGCAAAAAAACACAGGACCACATGGTCTCCTCTCACATTGGACTTGTGGTCACAAACTTCAAGTCATTTTCCAAAGTCAGGTCACCTTTCCCACTAAGGATAAACTCACGCTTCTCTTCCCAATCTCCTCATTCTCAGCTAATGACAAGAGTTTCACTCAGAAAGTAGAAGTAACGGAAGAGAACTATCTCTTCTTTCAAAACTGACCATTCATCCCTCATTCTCCCAAAACAGACACACACAGTTACCACCGTCTATTGCCTGGGCTGGAAACCCTGGTGGCATAGTGGTTAAGTGCTACGGCTGCTAACCAAAAGGTCAGCAGTTCAATAACTCTTCTCCCAGCTTCCCTCCTTACAGCTGCTGCAACCAACAATCCGTTCTCTATACAGCAGCCAGAATTATCTTTCAAAAAGTAAATCTAATTGTGTCACTCCCTTGTTCAAACCTTCCAAAAACTCTCTGTCACTTTCAGCAGAAAGTCCAAATTCTCCACCACTTCCGCAAAGCCTGCCTGGGGACCCTGCCTGGTTCTCGGATCTGGCTCACTTTGCTCAGTGTCTCAATGGTGCAGCCTAGCTATTTACTGTCTCAGGGATTTTGCACTTTTTGTTCTTTTGTCCAAGAACTCTGTTCTGCCAACATTGAATGACCCAGCCCATCCCTTAACTCACACCTCTGCTCAAATGTAAACTCCTCAGGAGAGTTTTCTATAACCACTCTATCTAAGTAGCATTCATCACCCAGATCTACATTTCTCTTTATTCTCTGATATTATTTTATTTTCCTTCATAGGACTTCATCACTATCTGATGGTATATTGAGTATCTCTTTACCTATTTTTTCATTGCCTGCCTCTCCTATGAGACTGTAAACTCCACAAAGTCAAGCACTTTTTCACCATTATATAAAGTCATGCACTACACAAAGTCCTGTTTAGGCAACGTCCAACTGCATAAACATCCATGATCCCATAAATTCAGAAATCCCGATCCGAGAACAGGATGTAGTGGATGTAGCTGGACATAACCAACGCAACAGCTTCCTGTATGCGACATGTGTATCTCATGTCTCTTGTATACAAAGCAATTGCTTTGCACGTAAGTCGGCCTTCGTAACCCAGGGACTGCCTGTATATAATATGATGTTTGCACAACATCCAAATCACATACTATCCAATTTCACAGAATGTATCGTGGATGTTAAGCGATGCATGACGGTACTTCATATCTGGAACTGTGACTGGCAAATAGTAGGGGCTCAGTAAACATTTGCTGAATAAACGAATAAACCAATTGAATCAAATGATGCATATAAAATCATGTAGCATAGTTTTCCTCTATGCTTAATAATCATTGGTTGATTTTGTTTGTTAATTATTAACTTATTAACCAGTAACTATATTTCACATTACTACCAAAGTTACTTTATGTGTATGAGGGCTTTCTTTTCTCAACTTTCTTGGTACCTCAACAAAATTTACAATTCTTGGTAGAGGTAAAGAAAAAAAATGTTAGATATTTATGAATCTATCATCCTGAAAACTCAGCATTTTTATATAAAGGGAGGTGAAACATAAGACTAGAACTATAGATTTGTAATCTCATTAGCAAAGAGCTGAACATATGTGATAAAATATCAGAGATACATGTTAACCATGCCTAGATAATTTATTAAATTACTGATACATCAGAAAAGCTCTTCTCTTCCTTCTCTAACTGGTCTGCCCACTTTGACCTGCCCACATTGTCCAGGATTGGAAAATGCTTCAGAATCCAAAGCCCATTTGTATTGTAAATCCTTTACCCTGTCCTTGAACAGACTTTTTTTTTTCTTACTGGATACCCATTATACCCACTGTAGGAAAGAATAGATATGGTTCCTGCTGTCATAGAATTTACAGTTTAATGCAAGTGGCTACCACCCATCTGTCAGTTTGCCATACTGCAGTACCTTGTGTGTTATTATGCTGTAAGCTGTGCCACTGCTATTTCAAATACCAGCAGGGTTATTCATGGTGGGCAGATTTCAGCGGAGCTTCCAGACCAAGACAGACAAGAAAGAAAGGCCTGGTGATCTACTTCTGAAAATCAGCCAATGAACACCTTATTGATCACAACAGAATATTGTTTGCCTCACTTGCTTCGGACATGTCATTCAGGAGGGATCAATCACTGAAGTAAGACATCTTGTTTGGCCAAGTAGAAGTTCAGTGAGGGCCAGAGAGATCCTTGGTGTGATGGATTGGCAAAGTGGCCGTAAGGATGGAATTGAAAATGTCAGCGATTGTGAGTCTGGCAAATTTCACTCTGTTGTACATGGGGTTGCTGTGAGTCGGAGTCAACTCGATCGCAGCTAAGAACAGCAACAACAATGCAGGTGGACAGGGGAAAGATACAAACAATAAATGAGTCATAATAGAAAAAAATTTACATGGAGTTCACTATGGACAAAGCACTGTTAAAAATGCTTTGCACGTATTACCTCATTTAATCTTCACAGTATCCTTACAAATCGGATAGCATTATAATCACATTTAAAGGTTAAACTGAGATGCAGGTTTAGGTCATGCATGCAGGGACAACAACTGTAATTGGCAGAGCTGAGATTTTGAATCCAGGAGATTGTCATAAATTCTTTGATCTTAAGGGCTACATGCATTGCTTCTCTTAACAAACACATATATAATTGCGTCTTGTGATATGAACTATTAAACAATTAAGGCACAGTTGTAATTACAATGAAAATCTTTTCAAGTGTGGTGGCCAAGGAATCCCTTGGGAAGAGTTGACATTTAAGCCAATTATAGCTTTGAGGCTACTATAGTGTATTCCTGAACTAAGAAATAGAGTATATCCCACTTTCCTCATTTGGGCCGAGGGCAGAACTTGTATATTGAATGTTGCTTCAGGTACGCTAATTGCACGTCCTTATAATAAAAGTGGCATTAAACACAGTTAATTATGTCTTGTAGAACTTGAACATTGTCCATGGAAATCTTGTTTCAGCACATTCAAATGAAAAATGGCATCCACGGAAAAAGCAGACTCTGACATTTCACAAGACAGACTACTTCACATCAAAAACAACCTGGAAAAAAATATGCCTGAAAATGCATTTGACATTATTATTAGACTGTCAGATTTCTCAGAGAAGAAAGAAGTAGCATTCCTATGTATTGGTTTTGGGCGTCCACAGCCAAATACTGTTTTTCAGCTTTTTGGCAACTGTTTATCCTTTGGGTTATTTACATGACATTTATGTTTAAGGTCATAAAAATGTGTATTCAATTTAGTAATGTATTTCCCAGACATCAACCCTCTCTCCACGGCAATTTGAGAAGATAATATTTTATTGCATTTTCTAAAAGGGAAGTGTTTAAAAAAAATCAGAAGAGATGTGAAGGAGGAAAAGTACTGAAATGAGGATACCCCTGGAATGTGGGAACATTTTAGCTCTGGCTTCATCACTGACGAGTTTTGTGGCTATGGATAAGAACATTTTTCTTCAGGGACTCAGTTTCCTCATTCAGAAATGAAGTTGTTAAACGGATGAAGTAGACATCTGGTGTTTCTGCTTGTCCATGTTTCTTGCTTCCTTTTTTTTTTTTTTTTTTGTGATGTCACCTTGGTTTTTCATGATGAACTGTCCCTCTCCCACTGCAGTCAAATTCTAGGACTATAAATCAAGGTTTTAGCATTCTTCAGGCCAAGTGGCAGAACGGTGACCTAAACAATTGGACTTTATTCTCCAGGAATTTCAATCTCAAGGGAGTGGTGCAGAGAGAAAATTTTTGGTGATGATTCATGGCAGAAGCCTAGAAAGGCCACTAATTCTGGCCTTCGGATTCTCAGAACCACTCTTGTTTCTTTCCTTTCAGAACCCTAGCTTTCCACTTCCCTTTTGTTTCTTTTACTACCCTGAGTCCTTTCGATAAGGAGCCCTGGTGGCACAATGGTTAAGAGTTCA